GCACACTAGCCTTGAGGGAGTTGAGGCAAACAATGCGCTGGCGACTCTGGGACAGCAACAACCCATCTGAAAATACCATGGAATAGATGAGAGGAAAGCAAAGGGAGGGCAAGAGGTAAAACTAGGTGAGGTGCAGAGGCAGGCAAAGAGATGAATGGAGTGTCACTAAAACTTGTGAGTTGGGGCTATTTTCTCTCATTATATTCCCTCCCTCTACCTCTAGTTACACTGATATTCTCTCAGTACCAGAACCCCCACCCATGAACCTTCTAATAGGAGTTCAGTGTTCATCTGTGCCATGTCAGAGTTTACTGTGAAGCTTCGAAGGGGCAGTTGATCCTCATCACGATGGTACAAGAAATGCAGCAGCTTCAGTGTCCAAGTCAGGTGCCTGGCTCAGAAAAGAAAACAGCTCAGAAAGATGTGGAGTGACATTCCCACTTTTTTCCTCCCCAAAGATAAACTCAGAGCAGCTGCTAGACTGGTTACAGAGATCCTGTATATAGCTCACATTATCATTCTCCATACTAGGTCAGAAAAGGTCTCACCTCTTTTGACTATTCATGGACAACACGACACTTGTATTCTCCATCTTCACTTTGACCTGGTCTGGCAACTGCTGGAGGAGGTATAGGCCAGGCAGGGTTGGCTCAGCCAAATTCTCTGTCACCTCTGAGAACATGAACGAATAACATAACCGTCATCAATCCTTAACACTCAATTACTCCAAGAAGCTCTGCCCTCTTTGGCCAAATCCTTCCACATAAAACAGGGTAAGCAAATGTCCAAATAAAGCCACAGGCAAATACTCCACAGATCCAGGTACCTGGTGTACTTCCTTTTCCAGACTCTACATATATAACCAGATTGTAGGGATGTAGCTCAGTGGTAGAGTGCTTGTCCACCATGTTCAATCCCCAGCACCACAAAAACAAAAAATAAATGGAATGGGGAATAGGCTGGTGAAACAGGAAGAATATGGATTTTAGAGTCGAATAATTTAAACTTCATTTTTACTAGGACTAGCTGTGACCTCAGCCAAGTTACCTAGCTAATCATCCTAGGCTTCAATTTCCTTATTTGTGAACTGCTGACAACTTATGGAAAAAACATATGTAAAACACAATAGTACAGGTCTAATTCATACCACTAAATGTTAGTTCACTAAGCACAAGCAAATGCCCCATTTTCTCTAACTAATCTCAGGGTCAAAGGCTATGAGGAGCTGGGCATGGTGGTACATGCCTGTAGTCTCAGTGGAAGCTGAGACATTAGGATCACAAGTTTAAGGGCAGCCTCAACAACTTACGAGGCCCTAAGCAACTCAGTAAGACCTTGTCACAAAACAAAAAATAAAAAGGGCTGGGGATGTAGCTCACTGATAAATTGTTCCTGAGTTCAATCCCCAGCACCAGGAAAAACAAAACAAAACAAAACCAACAATGGGAAGGAAAAAAAAAAAAAACCAACAACCACCCTGGTGACTAATGACTCATGCCTGAATGAGTAGTGAAACCCCTGCTTTTTTCTACTTCCAAAATAACTCTGAGAACAAGACAGCCAAGAAGCTCAGTGATCGGGGCTTTACCTGAACAGGGAACAGGCTTGGGTACCAGGCTTGAGCCCTGACTCAGCAGTTGACTATGGAAGAGACCTTCATGAAGCTCAGCATGGAGTGTCCACACATCCAGAGTGATAGCCTTCAGATGCCAACTGCTGATGCCCACCTTTAGACACAGGTCCAGGGCCAGTGACAGTTCCACTAGGCATGTATCCTCCTGTAGGGAAGATAAGCCTTTAAGGTGTATGTAGGAAGCTTGGGGACTTTTTGGTCAAAATGCATTGATCTTGGATCCTGGGTATTGCCTTAAGGGAACCACATAAAGTCAGAGAACTAGAATGTAAGCCCTAAGCTCCTTGAAATCTTATATCCAGGAGGAAATGGAGCATACTCACCAGCTGACCACTCTTTAGAACTTTGCTGTTGATTTTGGATAAGCTCACCTCACAGATTAATCTAGGAAAGAAAAAAATTGCAAGCACTTGGCACCTTTCTTCACCACTTACCTCCAATCAAGCTCTGTTGGCTAGAAGAGACAAGGCAAGTGAAACACCTACTCTTAGCCTCTCCTCAAGTTACAGAGAATAAAAACTTAACACTTTGATAATACTTTCTCTGAAGCAACACCAGGGCAAGAATGAGACTACTAGATCTCTTCTACTAATTACTTACCTTTTCCCATCACTATCCAAAAGAAATCTGCTTCTACTGATCTGAATGTGCCACAAGGACTCTGAGGTAGCCACCTTGAGAACCATGATGTTTATAGCATCAACATGAATGGAGAATAGCTGGAAAGAATGAGCAAGGATGAACAATAATTAACTTTAAGGTAGCACACTTCATTTCTAGCTGAGAAAAGAGTGTCAGATCTTAGCATTATGCCCCAAAATAGCAGAAGAATCCACCCACAACTCCAAAGCCCATCATCCCTGAAGTACAGTGAAGAATAGCAGAAGTAGCAGTCTCACTTGGCAGAAGATCTTCAGTAAAGATGGGCTGAAGGACAACTCCTTTTGATCCACCCCAGTGCTCTGGGAGAATGGGGCAGACAGGCCAGAAACCTTCTGTAGGTCCGTTCTGATCCGTACTTCTCCAAAGCACAATGCCACATAGTGTCTGCCAAGAGAAACCTCACTGCCACCAGATCCAATCCTCACATAATAGTCTCTTCCCCTCCCAAATAACATAGCTCAATTCATAGCAAACAATCTAATATTCTTCAGACTAAAAGGAGACTCCAGAAAAAACCTGCCTCCCTCCTTGAGTTAAGAGATCTCTGTATAGAATCTCATTCTGTAAAATCAACCCCAAAATATTCCCCAGGAGAAAAAAGGAGAAGTAAGGACATAGAGTACTCACGGCAGATCATGGCTAAGGAGTTTGCTGGAGATCCACAAGTTATCAATTTCCTAAAAGAGTGCAGGAAAAAACTCTGTACACTAATTGCTAGGTAAGCAATGAGCAGCTTGACAAGGCAGAAAAAGGTTTTTGGCTCCTTCAAGGAAGTGCTATGGACTCTCTCACTAAATATGCCCATTCCATTTCCACTGGTTTCTCTGCCAGATATCTTAGTCCTCACAATGACGTTAGTTGCTTAGTATTTCTCTATTACAGATATGTTGTCCTGTTTCTCTCTTAAATTAGAACAGTAAGCTCTTCTAGTTCCTGTTATCTTTCTTTTGTGCTTTACTTCTGCATCCTTCTTATGGGCCCTGGACACTCTGTGCCCTACAAACATCTTTAACCAAACAACTTGCGCCAATTCCAGTGTTCCCCAATTAGCTCTAAGATCACCATGGTAAGAGAGGAATGGTGAGGTTAACTAGCAAAGTCCCTCAGAATTTTTTTTCCTTTTTTTTTTTTTTTTGGTACTGGGATTGAACCCAAGCTCTACCACTGAGCTACATCCCCAGCCCTTTTTATATTTATTTTGAGACACAGCCTCTGCTAAGTTGCAGAGACTGGCCTCCAATTTGTTATCCTCCTGCCTCAGCCTGGCTGGTCCCTGGGATTAAAGTTGTGTGCCACTGGACTTGTCGACCCAGAATTTTGTTTTAAAAGCAAATTAAGGGTTAAGGGACTGGGGTTGTGGCTCAGTGGTAAGGCACTGGGTTCGATCCTCAGCATCACACAAAAATATAAGTAAAATGAAGGTATGTGTAAATCTACTATTTGAAAAAAAATTTTTATAAAGTAAATTAAGGATTGAAATTCAACTGCATCACACACGCACCCCTCCTCCCACAGTGAGTTTCCCATAACTCACAACTGTTTGCTGGTGCTGCTGAAACTTAAGACTGACATTCTGGATCCAAAAAAAGCGGAAGGAACCGATCTTTAACTCTGCTTGTAGCTTCCGCTGACACCACCTGGTGGCCAACCGGACCACAAGCCACCTGCAGAAAAATCCGTGTGAGTTCAATAGGGCTCTATCCCAAGTATGGCTACCCGAACCCCTTTTTGGTCTGAGAAGATCTTGCAAAGGATCGTGTCCTGAAACTGGATTTTTTCTGGGGCAACTCTCCTGTCTCCCAAATCACCTGTCCGTCACACACAGTCATCCGCCATAATCAGCACTGTAGAATTCCAGTGACCCCCGCCACCCAGATGAAACCTGATAAACTAAACCTCACCCCCAAGTATGAGGTCAAAAAAGAAAAAATCCCTCAAGTCTTTAGAAAGCTGAGACAGAAGAGACCCCAACAGGAGTTAAGGTGGAGGCAGCCGTGCTATCACATACTCCCCAGAGGGTCTGTCTCCGCTCCCACCCTCCAGACAGGTGTCCTGGATAAGTCCGGGGTCACAGACGGTCAGTTCAAATGCCCCTCTCCCAAGGACTCCCAGTCCTCCTGACCTCGCTCTCCAGAGCGAGGAATCCAGCTGCAGGTGCCCTTCGAGCTGGATGAAGGAGACATTCAGGGCGTGTGGAGCGGGAAGGAGAAACCATCGAGAGGCCCCGTTCTCACGCATATTCAATCCCCGGAATCAGCATTCCCTCAGGCCCCACCCGCTCCCTCAGTCTCCTCTGCACGCAGCCCCTCCCCGCATCTCTGGCCGCACATTCCCTCCCTTAGCCTTTATCGCGCGCCCCCCTCCTCATAGATATCCTTTCCGCCTCCCGCGCCGGGGCCGCGCGCGTCCCCTCCTCAGGCGCTCCCCCCTCCCCCATCGCTGTGGCTGAAGCCCCTCACCGGCCTAGGAAGAGAGCGCTAAGCGCAACCAGCAGCAAGACCAACAGCGCGGAAAGAAGCAGAGGCATTTAGGTCCGGGTCCGGCCCGGCCTGGCCCCGGCCCCAGCCATGCCGGGCCCCGACGCCTGAACCGCGCAGCGCCGCCGCGGGCCGACCAGCCGCGCGCGCAGGGGCAACGCTGAGCCAGGAAGCGTTGCCCGTGCGCGCGCGCGCCCCGCCCCCCGCAGCCCTCCAGCCAGCCAGCGCTCTCTCTCCCCCCGCCCCGCCCCCCTCATGAGTCAAGAGGGCCAACTGGCGCTTGCACAGAGTGAGGGCGTGGCTCCGAAGGGAATGACACGGGTGCCGGCGACCATCCAGCTGACACAAGCGCCCCGCCCTGGGCGCACCCTACAGAGCTCGGACCGAGAAGCCCAGGGCGTTGTTCAGGCTGCTGGTGGGTGACCTGGTTGGCTTACTTTGGCCACGAAGAGTTCCATTCTCAAAGCGGATTTCCTAGGTCAGTTACAGGGTATGCTTGTCTGCTCTGGGCCTGGATTGAAGAATCTACCAAAGTTATACCCCTGAAGCAGACGTAGTAGCACTCCTCTGTCATTCAAGGATGCTGTCTGAAAATGATGGGGGAAACCAAGAGGTAATTAAAAGATCTTAGAAGAGCTGGGAATGTAATTTAAAAGTACAGCACTTGCCTAGCAGGTAGTAAGGCTTTAGCTTCAATCCCTAGCCCAGAAGCAGAGTGCTGGGGAGACAATTCAGAAATTGCACCTTATTCCATCCTCAAGGGAGACCCCTATATTTTTTTTTATTTGTATCATATATCACATTTTATTTATTTATTTATTTATTATTGTTGATTGTTCAAAACATTACATAGTTCTTGATATATTTCACACTTTGATTCGACCCCTATTTTTTTTTAATTCCATTACTGTCTTAATATTGTTATGGTCAATTAATACGAATTAACCTACTATGTGCATAGAACCATCTGGACACTTCACTGGAGAAATTGAAAGTTTCTGTAATGCAATGTGTATAACAGAAACGACCTAGGAAGGGGGGTAAAGTGATACTAAAGAGGTAGTGAGTATTGTTCTTGTCCTTCAGCAATAGTTTAGGAAGCATACATAATTACATGAAATAAGAATTAAAGGTCAATTCAGTTAGGATTAATTTTGCCCACTTCCTTCTCTGCAAAATGAGGGAATTGGACAAAAGTCCTTTAAACTTGCTGTTTTGTTACGGGTAACTGAATGATTTACTAATACAATACAACCTAAAGAAATTCTGAGGGTTTCAAAATAAGTATTATGAAATATTGTGTCCCACTGTGTAACGTCCTAATTTTCACAAACATATCTCACATATCCCCATGGGCCCCATCACTCTTTCAAAGTCATACTTGTCTTTCAAGCACTATATTTCTATGTTATCCTCAATTCTCCAGGCTTCTATCAGAGTATGTCCTCAGAGAATGTCCAACAACTCTTAAAGAAGAGTGCCTTGCAAACATGTTTCCCTACTTTCATCTTGTCCAATCTGATTCCTTTATTCAGCTAAAATACTTATCACTTCCTTCCTTCTCCGTAGACTAGTTTTGTTTTTAATTTTTTTCTTTTTACATATACACGACAGTAGAGTGTATTTTGACATATTATGCATACATAGAGTATAACTTAGGATCCCTTCTGTGGTTGTACAAGAGTTTCTCTGGTCACATAGAGCGTTCATATATGAGCATAGGAAAGTTATGTCCAATTCATTCTACTGTCTTTCCTATTCTCATCCTCCTCCCTTTATTCCCCTTTGTCCAATCCAATGTCCAATCCTCCCCTCCAGACTGTTATAATGCCTACTCCCAACCATCTCATACCTTGAATTTTCTATTATTTGTCTGTTTTACTATTTCTCTACTTATTTTAGAAGATGTCCTAAAAAAAATCAATGCAACCTAAGCAGAATAAGGAAGAAAGGCAGGGGCAAAGGCAGAGAAGTTCTAATTCATGACCCCAGTTTTCTGAAACAAGTCCTTGCCAAAAAAAAAAAGAAAAGTCTTGCTAGGTGGCACAAACCTGTAATCCCAGATGCTAGGGAGGCTGAGGCCGGAGGATCACAAGTTCAAAGCCAGCCTCAGTAATTTTGCAAGCCCTAAGCAACTTAGCAAGATCCTATCTCAAAAAATAAAAAGGGTTGGCATGTGGCTCAGTGGTTAAGTGTCTCTGGTACCAAAAAAAAGTCTTTTAAAGTTATAAGCCATGTCTGGCACAGAATGGATTGTCAATTGTTCAACATTAACAACTTAAAGCAAAGAGAAAAAAAAAAAAAGAAAAAAGAAAGCCTGAAATTTCTAAAAATATAAAAGCTTGTTAATCAAAATTCCAGCAGATGGCAGCTACTTCTGTTCACCACTACCATGTTTGAAGGATACAGGAGCTAACTTTCTGGAATTAACTGGCATAGGAAAGAAGGAAAAGAGGTGAGATTAAAAATGTTCCCATCCACTTTTTCCTAAAAACATATCCCTCTCTTTGGAAGAGGAAGGGAGGATTGTATTCCAAGAGCTAAACACAGTTGTTGTGTAGCAAAAAGAGTGAATAAGACACAGCTGGATTCCTATCCCAAAATTTACTACTTTTTAAGAATTCAGAATTCATGTGAAGTACTGGGTTCAATCCTCAGCACCACAAAAAAATAAATAAGTACTTAAAATAAGGATATTGAGTTCAGGGGCTGTGGTGGAGTGCTTGCCTAGCATGTGTGAGGCCCTGGGTTCTATCCTCAGCCCCACATAAAATTAAATAAATAAAATAAAGATGTTGTGTCCATATGTAACTAAAAAAATATACATTTAAAAAAATTCAGTTCCAGGCATGCGCGAGACACACACACACACACACACACACACACACACACACACACACACACACACACGATTTCAGGCAATTGTCACTCACTGTTCTATAAATTGGTAAAATTATAATATTTAGGGCTGGGATTGTGGCTCAGCGGTAGAACGCTCACCTAGCACATGCAAGGCCCTGGGTTTGATCCTCAGCACCACATAAAAATAAATAAGTAAATAAAATAAAGGTATTGTGTCCAACTACAACTGAAAAATAAATGTTAAAAAAAAAGTTTTTGAAAAATTATAATAGGGCTGGGGAGGAGGCTCAAGCGGTAACGCACTCACGTGGCATGCGCAGGGCACTGGGTTCAACCCTCAGCACCACATAAAAATAAAATAAAAAGATGTTATGTCCGCCGAAAATTAAAAGATAAATATTAAAAAATTCTCTCTCTCAAAAAAAAATATCTATCCTGTGACACTTTACTGAAGATGAAATGAGGTAAGAGATACAATATTGGTTTTTTTCTACTTCCTATGCCTTTTTTCTTTTTGCACTTGCAATAAGATTCAGAGTGAAACATTTCATTAGTTACTGATTTTTTAATATTCTTTTTTATAAAATAACTTTAAATATTTTTATGTGGTGCTGAGGATGGAACCCAGTGCCTCATACGTGCTAACCAAGTGCTTTACCATTGAGTCACAACACCAGCCCCTCATCAGCTACATATTATGCTGTATTCTTTTGACAGTCTTTAGCCATAATTAATCAAAAACCTAATAAAGATGAGGCACCTGGGAAAAAGTGAATGGCCTATATTGAAGACTCCTAGCATCTCAAAGAATCTTGGGACTTAAGGATTAAGCAATTCAATAAATAGCACACCTAGTAAATAACAACACAGTGACAAATGTTAGAATTTTTTTAAGTCATTTTGGAGAAAGAAAAATAGGGGAAAAGTCACACACATGAGGAGAAAAGTCATACATATGAACATCATGATGTGGGCTGGGGGTCTCCCTCAATGCTAGAGCACTTGCCTAGCATGTGCAAGGCCCTAGGTTCAATTCTTAGCACTGAAAAACAAAAAAGAGGAGTCATTAAACAATCCATGATGCCAAGCCCCTGAGGAGTAAAAATTTCCCAGCTAAGAGGAAATTCCCTTAGTATTTTTTTTTTTTTAAAACCAGTATGAATAAAAAGCGCCTGCACCTTCAACAAGTCCTCTGCTCAGGCCTGACCCAAGTTTGGGAATACAACCAATTCAGATGCAAAGGGCTACAGCTTCCAAACACAACCACTGTTTTCTATTGTCATCTTCATCTCAATGGGGACATGGCTGCTACACAGGGTACTTGTGACAGGGATCCCATGGTGAAGCAGCAGATGTCTATGAACACTGTGTGGTGAAAGCAGCTCAGAGCCTCTGGACTCATAGTTCTGCATGGTGGGCTTCTGCCTTCAACAACTCACTGGGCTTCATGAAAATGCCTTCCATTGCTTTCCAGTAGTTGTTCTGGCTTGGCTGGGCCATGCCATGCACCTCTTTTTGTCCACTGATGGGCCGACCATATTGTTCTCCTGTGACAGACAGCAATACCTCAGTGGAAGAATGTTTGAATCGCACTTCACCATCTCTCACCCAGTAGGGTCCATTACAGAGCACTGTCCAGTCATCCAGGTAATCACCTTCACCTTCCTCACCAAAAGCACTCACTTCCTGGAAGACACAGAAGGTGGCAACATTAGCATGGCTGACACATAGGCTTGAAGAGTAGAAGGAGACACTGGGAAGAAAAATAAGGCTATAACAAATGACAGTCTTTCTAGTGTTGTAAAAAATAAAATAAACCTGCAGGGGGGTGGGAAACCCAAGAAAACACAAAAAGTATGCAAGAGAAAAAGAAATTAGTTGTCATAAAATTATGGTTCAAACACTTAATTTGCAATTAGTATCATATTGCCTTTTATTTTCTATTATAGTCTTAAAACATTTTTATTTCTTTAGAAATGGGTTCTTGCTCAGTTGTCCAGGTTGACCCAAACCCCTGGTTTTGAGCAATCCCTCTACCTCAGATTCCCAAGTAGCTGACCACAAGCACATGCCTCTATATCTGGCCTATTAAAGTATTTTATAACTGTTTTTTTTGGTTTTTTGTTTTTTAGAGAGAGAGAGAGAATTTTAATATTTATTTATTTTTTTAGTTATTGGCGGACACAACATCTTTGTTTGTATGTGGTGCTGAGGATCGAACCCAGGCCGCATGCATGTCAGACGAGCGCCTTACCGCTTGAGCCACATCCCCAGCCCTTATATAACTGTCGTTACTTGGCTTTATTTATTTCTTGCTATTAGAGTTTAAACCCACAGGCCTTTTACCACTGAGCTACATCCCAAGTCCTTTTTATGTTTTATTTTGAGACAGGGTCTTGCTATGTTATCCAGGTTGTCCTTGAACATGCAATTCTACTGTCTTGGCCTCTAAAGTCACTAAAATTATAGGTGTGCACCACCATGCCCAATAAATACTAAGTGAACAAAACATAGCAGGTTCTCTATATTCCTTTCCTCAATGAAATCTCATTCTCCTGCAGGCCAAATATTTAGGGTTTCTACACAATGATGATTAAAAAAAAAATTTATTTCAGAAACATCTGACTTAAATGTACACTAATAACTATATAATTTAGATAATAAAAAGCAGAACTTTGAAAATGGAAATCTATATAACTAAAGACAAAAGGAACTACCTTAAACACAGAACACATACTTGATAAAATAAGTATCCCATGGGAGTTCCAGTTAACAATTCTAAAACTATACTTGTATATGGGAACTGAAGAAGGAAATGGATGGTGGATGGTGGAAGCCTGGTACCTCTCTGTTGCAGCAGGGATTTACAAATAAACATGCTAGAATGATAAATGTAGTAATGGATTAGAGTTGGAGGTATCAATAAGAGCTCATGTTTAACAATACACAGATGGCTAAATATATCAGTATATATGTGTAGACGTATGAGTTAGTATACACACATGTATTTCTTTGCTGTCCGCTAAGAGGACCTAAAAGAAATAATATCCCAGTAAAGCAATAAGCTCATATAAAGTCTAGATTTTAGTTCTAACACCATTCTCCAATGAAGGGAAACAGGGCTCTGAGGAGAAATAAGGAGTCTAAGAGTGGGGCAAGCAATAAGCAAAATGAACCTGAAGCATCTTTTAGTGCTAGAAAGTTATAAGCAAGTGCTTTAAAACACACACACAATGAGATTCTGTCAAATAGATATAACAGACAACAGGAAGATTCCCCAATAGCCAAAGTTGGAATAATCTGAGCAACAAAGTGAAGACAATAATATTGTAAAAAATATGTAATATAAATCTAAGAGTTCATACTGATATAAATGAATAAATAAACTGGGGAAAAGAGACAAAAACCTCCATATGGAAAAATCCCACATAAATTATGTAGTTACTCCAACTGTAGACTGGACTTATTTTATCAACATGCAATTCTACTGTCTTGGCCTAAATGAAAAGAGTAACTTTACAGGAGAAACTCACTAGAACACTACTATAGTCGGGTAATCAAGGTCAATATCAGCAATCAAAAATCATGTATATAGGGCTGGGGTTGTGCCCAGTGGTACAGTGCTTGCCTAGCATGCATGAGGCACTAGGTTTGATCCTTAGTACACTTAAAAGTAAAATAAAGATATTGTGTCCACCTAAAACCAAAAAATAAATATATTTTTTTAAATCACATAGATAACAGGTATCATTCATAGTATGTGAGGAAAATGTCACTTTTAACTCAGTGACCTTGCTCCCAAAACCCTTTATAAACACAGTCTCATCATGACAAAAACGTCAGACAGATTCCAAAAGAGGAACAATAACAATACACCTGACTAGCACTTCTCAAAACTGTCAAGGTCATCAAAAACAAGGAAAGCTAGAAAACTGTCAAAACCAAGAGGATCCTAACAAGATATATCAACTAAATATATGTGGTATCCTGGAACAGAAAAAAAAACATTAGATTAAAAGGAAACTAAAATAATCTATGTACATTAGTTGAAATAATGTATCAATATTATTTCATCAATTCTAGCAACTGTACCTTATTAAGGTAAGATGCTCATAGCTAATACTATGTGAGGTGTGTGTGGGGGGGTGCCAGAGGGAAGAAGTCATTAAGGGGTTTATATCCCCTGAAAGCTCAAGGATTAAAAAAGTGGTAGAGAGGCTATGTGTGTAGTTCATTGTTAGGGCACAGTTTAGCATGCGGAAGGGTCCTGGGTTCCATCCCCAGCACCAGGGGGAAAAAAAGTGGCAAAAATTCATTTTCCCAATGTGGTTAGTTAGCATCATTAAAAATATAATCATTTTGGGGCTGAGGTTGTGGCTCAGTGGTAGAGCACTTGCCTTGCACCTGAGAGGCACTGGGTTTGAGTCTTAGCACCACATAAAAATAAATAAAATAAAGGTACTGTGTCCATCTATAACTAAAAAAAAAAATTTTAAATAATAATCATTTTCATTGCAAGTTTGGAAACATTGGGTTTACTGCAGAATTTATCAGAACTTAATTCATAACTATTCTCTGTTCCCTCCATTTCTTGACTTTTATCTAGATGCAAAGTTTCCATGGGGCCAGAAATAACCTTCTTCACACTTACGAAAGTCATTTCTCCAGGTCTGCAGAAAAGAACATTTACATCTGGAAAGGAAAGGGTTAAGAACCAGGAGCTCAAACAAGAGAATCAAGTATTACAGAGCAAAGTGATCCATTAGATGCCACCTCACCTGGTTTCCAGAAAGAGGTGAAGTAAAATGGTGACTATGGAGGTTTCGGCCAGTGTTGACATGTGTCAGTCGGATGGGCTGGCCACATTTGATGGGGGTTCCCCTTTCACACACCGTGGCAGTCTTCCCCCGTATCCTCCAGTAACTGTTGCTGTCATCCACAGAGGTTACACCTGTCACTGACTGCTGGCCACTACCTACAGTCAAAAACAGAAAAAAAAAGAGAGAGCAAGTAAACTCAACCTAATTCTATGGCTCTAAAAATGTGCTCTGTGTCATAAAACTGGCAGGAGGGATGGGGAGGGAACATTACAGCTGGTAATATTTTTTCTATGACATTAAAATAAAATATTTATGAAAATATTAAATGTTCATATACTGTAGTTTTAATTATCATATATTATACTTAAGGGAGTGCCATATCAAAAACTTCCAAGAATTTGCATCAAAAGAATTAGATACAAATCCACAAATATGTGAGGGTTTTTTTAAGTATAGGCAATGTTTACATGTATGTACTAGACTGGATAATCCCAAATATATGTCAGGTATCTAAGTATATAATTTTAACATGTTTGTAATATTTTCAATGCTTACTATGCATTACAATAAAAATTTTTATATTTTATAATTAAAATAAAATGACTTTATATCATCAACTTTAATCCAAGAAGCCATAATAATTCTGAAACTCCTGTTAAGTAGTCTATCAGTACATTATAAAATTACTCTGAGGACATCTAAATTTGGTTAATCCTGCCTTAACTGGTACAATTCTGCAGGTTAAAAGGCACTGAGTTAAATATGTAGCTACAGCCAGGAAAAGCAGCATTCACCTGTAATCCCAGCAGCCCAGGAAGCTGAGGTAGGAGAATCACAAGTTCAAAGCCAGCCTCGGCAACTTAATGAGGTTCTAAGCAACTTAGCAAGACTGTTTCAAGATAAAAAATAAAAAGAGCTAGGGATGTGACTCAGTGGTTAAGCACCCCTGGGTTCAACCCCTAGTACCAAAAAAAAGAAAAAGAAAAAAGTAGCTATGTAGACTTAAAAATAAAAAGGAGGGCTAGGCTGTAGCTCAGTGGCAGAGCGCTTGCCTAGCATGTATGAGGTACTGGGTTCAATCCTTAGCACTGCATTAAAAAATAAATAAATACACAAATAAAGTCATGCTGTCCATCTACAATTACAAATTTAAAAAATAAAAAGGAAATATATACAAATAATAATTTGTACCTAATATGTCCTGAGCAGTTACCAGGTATCGGGCACTAACCCAAGTCCTTTGCTTGAATATTCTTATTTAATACATGCCTCTATTCTCTTAGATAGGAATTATTATCATCCTCAGTTTATGTTGGAGTGTTAGAAAGGCTGACTAGTATGCCCAAGGTTATGCAATTCTAACAAGGTTGGGACTGAACCTAGGAAACCTGATCTTAGAACTAACAGTCACTCCATCACAGTACATCCCACAGTAAGGATATCTTCCCCCACTCCAAGAATTTTTTTCACAATACCTTTATTCCATTTATTTATTTTTATGTAGTGCTGAGGATCAAACCCAGGGCCTCACACGTGCTAGGCAAGCGCTCTACCACTGAGCTACAGCCCCAGCCCAATGACATCTTTCTTTTTCCAGCTTTTTCTGTCAAGTTCCTCCAAACAGGCTACTCTCTAATAAACTCTAGGGATTTTTTTTCCCCCTGCTAGGCCTTATGTACAACCCTTCTTTGAAGGCATCTCATATTTCCCAAATACTTACCTTAAATACTCTCACCTGTACCTCCCAGCTTTGCCTTGAGATCCATGGACCTGCCTAACCACAAGCTTTTGATATTTCCCTTTTACTGTGTAACACTGTGCCTTGTACTTCTCCTTTGAGTAAATGCAACAAACTATCAGCTCCACTCCACAGGGTTCTTTCAACCTGCTTATGACTTTGTACATCTTAAAAAAAAAAAAAAAGGAGGAGGGCAGGCAACTAAACTCCTTTTTTGCTGTCTCAGTATGCACAATAATGTTTACTAAATCATAATCTACTTTTTATTTCTTACCTTTCACACTTTCTATTCAACCCACTTTTTCCTCCCACAATCCCTAAATCTTGAGATTATCCAGAATTCTATAACTTGACCTCATCTCTATTCAACTTAAAAAAAAAAAAAAGTGTGTGATTGTTTTTTTTTTTTTTAACGATTTATTTTTATGTGGTGTTGAAGACTGAACCCATTGCTTCACATGTGCTATGCAAGTACTCTACCATTCAGCCACAACCCCAGCCCATAGACCTCATCTATTTGTATTAGAGGTTCTTAATTGGGGGTCAGGACAAAAGCATTTGTATCTTTAACAAGTTTCTCAAGTAATTCTTATATTAAGAACCATAGTCATCCTGGGTAATTTCATCTACTCCCATCACTCTTCAACCATCACCATTCAACAATGTTGCATAACTTTGTATCTCAGATTCAGCAGAGATCCTTCTGTATTCTAGACTGAACCTGGTTCTCAAATGTGGCTGCCCATCAGAACCACCTAAAGAGTATTTGAAACTATCAGACTTTTATGCTAGGCATCTCATCACCTCTATTTTAATTCAGTAGATCTAAAGCAGAGAATCATATCAAACTAAAAAGCATTAAGCCTGGCATGGTGGCAAATGCCTAATCCCAGTGACTTGGGAGGCTGAGGCAGGAGGATCGTGAGTTAGCAAGGCCCTAAGCAACTCAACAAGACCCTGTCTCTAAATAAAATATAAAAAAAGGTTGATTCACTGTTGCATCTCCTGCCAGGCATAGAGGCACACACCTGTAATCCCAATGGCTTAGGAGGCTGAGACAAGAGAATCACAAGTTCAAAGCCAGCCTCAGCAACAATGAAATGCTAAGCAACTCAGTGAGACCCTGTCTCTAAATGGGGATGTGACTCGGTGGTTAAATGCCCCTGAATTCAATCTCCAGTACCCCCAACCCCTCAAAAAGAGGAGTGCTAGGGATGTGGTTCTGTGGTTAAGTGCCACTTGGGTTCAATCCCTGGTACCAAAAAAATAAAAAGACAATTTAAAAAAGCAATACACCTGACACAAAATGAGTATCAACTGAATGGTTGCTAGGATTATTAAGACATCCCAATAATAACAACTCAGTTCCTTCCCTAATCAAACTGGTCAGACATGTTTTCGGAAACACGAATTACAGATTAATCCATCTGAGGAAATTCCTTCATCACTGAATGAACAAGCATAGTCCAACATAATCAGTCATCCAAGTTATCTTAGATGCTTATCACGCCTCACCAACAGACTTTGTTTTTCTTTTTTCCTTTTTAATGCTAGGATCAAACCCAGGGCCTTGTGCATGCTAGGCAAGTGCTCTACCATTGGAGTTAATTCCCCAGTCCTCGAACTTCTATTTATCTATTTTTATTGTCTTCCTTGTAACTTGATTGATTCACTATTGCATCTCCTGCATCTAGAACAATATCAGGCACACAGGAGGGGCTTATTAAATCTATCCTGAATGAATGGACCCATAAGTAACTGATTATCAAATATTTTAATTTCATATAGCAAAAAGCAGTTTCCTGGGCTGAGGTTTTAGCTCAGTGGTAAAGTGTTTACTAGTACTTGCAAGGCTATGAGTTCAATCCCCAGCACGACCCCCATCCCCCCCAAAAAAAGCAAAGCAGTTTGCTCTACAATATCTGTAACTGCTTTAAGGGTTTTTGGGGTTTTTTTTGGGGGGGGGTTGTTTTGGTGTTATTATTATTTTAAATCCCAATACTAAACCCAGGGTGTTTCACATGCTAGGCTAGTACTCTACCCATGAACTACTTCTCCAGCCCAGCCCTTTTTAAAAATTTATTTTGAGACAAGGTCTAAGTTGCCCAGGATGGCCTCAAACTTATAATCCTTCTGCTTCTGCCTCCTATGTAGCTGGGATTGTGGGCATGTACCACCACACCCCTCTGCTTTTTTAAAAGGAAGTTAAGATTGAGTAAAAAGGGACCAAAAGATAGGACAACGTGAGCTAGAAGACAGAGGGTTGTAACCAAAGAGTAAATTCTTGGACTTTAAAACTTCAGAGATATAGCACTTACTATAATTTTTTATATCATTTTTCTCCCAAACTGGTGACAACCCAAAGTAGTGGAAAGGCTGGGTGCGGTAGCTAGCGCTTGCCTGTAATCCCAGCAGCTCTGGGAGGCTGAGACAGGAGCCTCAGCAACGGTGAGGCCTTAAACAACTCAGTGAGATTCTATCTCTAAATAAAACACAAAATAGGGCTGGGGATGTGTCTCAGTGGCCGAGTGCCCCAGAGTTCAATCCCCAGTACCCTCACTCCAAAAAAAAAAGCAATTGAAAGGTTTTGAATCTTAACTGATTTGGATCAAACTTAGTTGCAAGGCTTTGAACAAGCTATTTAATTTTTCTGAGTCTATTTTCTCACCTGAAAACGAGGATAACAATAGCATCTATCTCACTGGAATGTTAAAAAATTGAAAAAGAAAAAAAAATGCCGAGAATGGTAGCACACGCCTGTAATCCCAGCGACTCAGAAGGCTGTGGCAGAAGATCGAGGCCAGTCTCGGCAAGTTAGTGAGACCCTGCCCCAAAATAGAAAATAAAAAGGGTGGAGATGTAGTTTTGTGGTTTAAAAAAACAAAAGAAAGGACATATCGATTTGCCTGGCACTTAGCTTGCCAAATAGAAGCTGGTATTAGGATGAAACTGGCCTTAGAACAACTCCGTTTTTCATCCTCTCTGGACCTCAGGAGCCTCCCCAGGGGACCCCTAAGTCTCCGAGGCTCCGCCCCCTTCAGAATCTACGGGCCTCCTCAGCCCACCCAAACCGGGTCCCCGGCAGTACCTGACCCATAGCGCACGTCGTGTGAGTGCAGCCGGACGTTGTGGCGCGTATTGAGTAACTTCACCACAGATCCACAAGTAACGACAGCCAGACTGGACCCCCCCACAACGCTCCACAAACCCCCAAACAACAGTAGCTGTAAAACAGCCATCCTAAGTGAATCGCAGCGTCCCTAATCCTCCAAGAAAATTTGGCCCCTCCCCGGAACCGGAAGATGAAGGCGGAATTATTGAGAGGCGGAAGTAAAGAAGCCTTGATCTGATCTTTATGGTTCATTTGGCTAGAGCGGTCTGAGGAACCCACCCCGCTCCCCGGTTCAGGTTGATGTTGATCACCTTGCTGTGTTTGGGGGACTCTTTGGCAACTGCCTTCCTGAATGCTACCTGGTAGCTTTCGCATCCTCCGTCGAAACTCCAGAGAACCCGGTAGAAGAGAGGTAGGAACAGCCCGCCCACTCCCAGTGACAGGGAGCCGGAAGTGACGTAGCACGTTGACGCAGC